TCTTTTTTTTTTCTTAATATGTTTTTATTGGTTTTTTTAGAGAGAGAGGAAGGGAGAGGAAGAAATAGAAACATTGATCGGCTACCTCCTGCATGCCCCCTACTGGGAATTGAGCCTGTAACCCGGGCATGTACCCTGACCAGGAATCAAACTGGGACCTCTCAGTCCATGGGACAACTATATTTCTTATAGATATATACTTATATATGATAAAATATGTAAGTGAAATGAATAACAGTAGTGATGCAAGAGATAAGAGGGAGGAATTAGGGTTTATTTATCATTTATTATTATAAGGTACTCAAAATACCCAAGAAGTGGTACAGTGATATTTAAAAGTGGACTTGTATTAGTTAGTATATTGCAAACTTTTGAGCAACCACTAAAAATGTTTGTTTAAAAAAAGACATATTACTGATGTACTAAGAAAAGAGAGAAAAGGGAATCATAAGATGCTCAATTAAAATCACAAAAGGCAGAAAGAGTAGAAGACAAAACTAGTAAAAAGAAAAACAAAGGTAACAAAAGAAAACAGTAAGGAATATGGTGGATATTAGTCCAACTATCAGTAATATGTTGAACATCAGTGGTTTAAATGCACCAATTAAAAGACAGAGATTGTCAGAGTGAATCAGAAAACAAGAACCAGCCCTGGCTGGTTTGGCTCAGTGGTTAGAGCATCAACCTGTGGACCAATGAGTCTCGGGTTTGGTTCCCACTAAGGGGCACGTACCTCGGTTGCAGTTTGTCCCCAGCCCTGGTCAGGGTGTGTGGGAGGCAACAAGTTGATGTGTCCATCTCACGTCGATGTTTCTCTCTCTCTCTCCCTCCCTCCCACTCTATCTGAAGATAAATAGAAAAATATCCTTGGGTGAGGATTAAAAAAGAAAAACAAGAACCAATTATATGTTGTCTTATAAGAAATCTACTTTAAATATAAAAACATATATATATTCAAAGTAAATGCATGGAGAAAAATATACCGTGCTAACACTAATCAAAAGAAAGCAAGAGTCACTATATTAATGTCAGACAGAGTAGACTTCATAGTAAGGAAAGTTATCAGGGATAAAGATGGCATTACATATGATAAAGGGGCAGTTCTCCAAAGACATAAAAACAAAAAAAAAAGGAAAAATGTCCTCGGGTGATGATTAAAAACAAAAAACAAAAAAAAAAACCTTCATGTGTATTCACCTAACAACACAGTATCAAACTATATGAGGCAAAAATGGATAGAACTATAAGGAGAAATAGATGAATCCGTTATCATAGTTGGAGACTCCAACCCATCCTCTATCAGAAATGTACAGATCCAAGAGGCAGAAAACCAACAGGGACATGGCTGAATTAAACAATACCATAAATTGTCTGGATATACTGGACATCTATAGGCTGCTTTCTCCAAAAACAGCACAAATCTTCTCAAGCTCTTATGGAAAATTCACCAAGATAGAACTAAAACATATTCTAGGCCTAAATTTGTACCTTAACAAATTTAAAAGGGTACAAATCATACAATGTCTGCTCTCAGACCACAGTGGAATTAAACTAGAAATCAATAACAGATAGATCATTGGAAAATACATGGAGTTTAAACAACACCCTTCTAAAATAACAGATGGATCAAAGAAGAAATCTCAAGAGAAATTTAAAAGTATTTGGAACTAACACCATATTGTTTTCCATAGAGGCTGCACCAGTCTGCATTCCCACCAGCAGTGTACTAGAGTCCCCACACCCTCCACACCCTCACCAACACTTGTTGTTTGATGATTTGTTGACGGCGGCCATTCTGACAGGTGTGAGGTGATACCTCATTGTTGTTTTAATTTGCATCTCTCTGATGATTAGTGATGTTGAGCATTTCTTCATATGTCTCTTGGCCATTTGTATGTCCTGTTTGGTGGAGAGGTGTCTATTTAGTTCCTCTGCCCATTTTTTAATTGGGTTCTTTGTCTTCCTTTTGTTGAGCTGTATGAGCACTCTATATATATTGGAAATTAACCCCTTATCTGATGTATTTTTGTCAATTATGCTCTCCGTGGAAGTGGGTTGCCTTTCCATTTGGGTGGTGGTTTCTTTTGCTGTGCAGAAGCTTTTGAGTTTGATGTAGTCCCATGTGTTCATTTTTTCCTGTGTTTCTGTTGCCTTAGGTGATGTATCAGTGAAAATTCTGCTACATATGATGTCTGAAATTTTGTTGCCTACATTTTCTTCTAGGATTTTAATGGATTCATGAGTCACGTTTAAGTCTTTTATCCATTTTAATCCTCACCTGAGGGTATTTTTCCATTTTTTGTACAGATAGAATGGGAGGGAGAGAGAGGAAGGGAGAGAGAGAGAGAAACATCGATGTGAAGGGACACATCGAGTGGCTGCCACCCGCACGACCAACCAGGGCCGGGGACAAACTGCAACTGAAGTACATGCCCTTAGCGGGAACCGAACCCGGGTCTCTCCGGACCGCAGGCCGACACTCTAACCGCTGAGCCAAACTGGCCAGGGCAAGTCTTTTATCCATTTTGAGTTTATTTTTTGTGTATGGTGTAAGTTGATGGTCTAGTTTCATTTTTTTGCATGTAGCTGTCCAATTTTCCCAACACCACTTATTAAAAAGGCTGTGTCTTTACTCCACTGTATGCTCTTACCCCCTTTGTCAAATATTAATTGAGCATAAGCCACTATGGAAAACACTATGGTGTTATCTCAAAAAATTGAACTACCATTTGACCCAGTGATCCCACTTCTAGGAATGTACCCAAAGAAGCCTCGAACACCAATCAGAAAGAATTTATGTACCCACATGTTCATAGCAGCACTATTTACAATAGCTAAGATCTGGAAAAAGCCCAAATGTCCATCAGTAGACGAATGGATAAAAAAGTGGTGGTACAATGGAATACTATGCAGCTGTAAGAAAGAAAGATCTCTTATCCTTTGAGACGACATGGAGGGACCTAGACAGTATTATCCTAAGCAAAACAAGCCAAGCAGAGAAAGACAAATATCACATGATCTCACTTATTTGTGGAATATAATGAACATAACAGTCTAAGGAACAGGGTAGTCCCAGAGACGTGGAAATGGGGTACAGACTGAAAATCCCCAGAAGAGGGACTTGGGGGGGAAGAGATAAACCACAGAACTTATATGCATGTATGCATGAACAGTGGACATGAACAACAAAGCTGGGGACAGGGTGGGGAGGGTGGGGGAAGAGTGTATCAGTGGGGGAAAAAGGAGAAACATCTGTAACAAAAATAAATAAATAAAAAATAAAAGTATTTGGAACTAAATTAAAATAAAAATACAATTTCTTAAAATTTGTGGGATGCAGAGAAAGCAGTGCTTAGAATAAAATTTTAGCATTGAGTGCATATATTAAGAAAACTCTAAAATCAACAACCCTACGTTTTCAGCTTAAGAAACTGGAAAAAGAACAGAAAATTAAATACAAAGTAAGCAGAAGAAAATAAGCATTAGAGCAGAAATCAGTGAAACTGAAAACAGGAAATCAATAGAAATAATCAATGAAACCAAAAGCTAGTTCTTTGAAAAGATTAATAAATGTCTAGACAAGTTAGCTCAGAGAGAGAGAGAGAGAACATGAAAGAGAGCAAGAACTGATAAATTACTAATACCAGACCTGAAAAGGGAGACAACACTACAGATCCTATGAAAATACAGGATAAGAAAACTACAGACCAATATGTCTCATGAACACAGAGGCAAAAATCTTCAACAAAATATCATTTCCTGTATACCTGCAATGAAGAAATAGAATTTGAAACTGAAATTAAAAACACAATTCTTCATAGCACCCAAAAATATGACAGAGATAAATGTGAAATTAAAGAAAACCTCAATAGATGGAGAAACATATCCTGTTAGTGATTTGGAAGTCTCAGTATCATCAAGATATCAGTTCTTCTGTAATCTACTATATATAGATTCAGTGCAATCCCAGTCAAAATCCCAGTCAGCTTTTTAAAAGAACAGAAATTGACAAAATGATTATAAAATACTTATTGAAACCAGACAGAACATTAGTCTTCCCTAGATAACATTTATGATTAAAGGCAACTGTTCTGCATTGTATAAGATGATGACTTGGAAGGTCACCTCACCCCTCTTTTTCTTTGCTACTCCAGCCTACTTTCCAGTACCTGCACTTTTTTGTTTTACATATTAAGCTTGTGTAAAATTTCCTTAAAAGAAAGGTTTAGTCTGCTTCTATAAAAAGGTTTTTAAGACTGCAGTTTTAAAGTATTATTATTATTATTATTATTATTATTATTATTATTTTAATCCTCACCCAAGGACATTTTTGCATTTGTCTTCAGATAGAGAGAGAGAGAAACATCGACGTGAGAAAGACATCAACTGGCCACCACCCACACCCCAACCGGGGCTGGGGACAAAATGCAACCAAAGTACGTGCCCCCAGTGGGAACCAAACCCGGGTCCCTCAGGTACACAGGCTGACACTCCAACCTCTGAGCCAAACCGGCCAGGGCAACGTATTATTGAATATAAGGACTGTTCCCACATATTTAAAGGCAAAGGACATAATGAAATAGATGAGTTTCCACATATAGATCTGAAAGTAAATACTGAAGAAGAAACAAACCTCATTGACAGCAGTGAAATAAGCTGATAGCATAGAGTTGACTACGGAGTCATGAAAAATTTATCAGGGTTAGAATTCAGCCAAATGAAGATGAAGGGGAAAACCTCCAATTTTCTTTCATAAAAAAGTCCCTGACTGGTTTAAAATGTATTTTAAAATATTCAAGTTAATATTAGGTAAATTATAAAATTCATAAGCAAAAATAAATTTAATAAAATAATTTAGTTGTAAGTCTTAGGCTTTTCATATCTGTTACATACTGTAAAATGACTTTATTATGACTTTACTTTTTAAACTCACATTTAGAGAAAATTTTGAAATAATGTATTAGGCATGAAAATAATTTCAAGTGTCATTTCATTTACAGGTCTGCATTACATTTACTGAATTTGGAAAAATGCAAAATATGTGTAACTTTCTTGTTGAAAAGCTAGATAGCTCAGTTGTCATCAGCCAACCCCAGTTCTATCATACTCCAGGTTCTGTTGAGAATCTTCGGTAAGTTAAGTACATCTTTAACTAAATTATCAATTAATTAAAACTATTGAGTGTTACAGTTCCTTGCATGTCATATTAATAATCTCTGCATTTAATTCCCAAGACGGCAAGCCTGTCTCGTTGCTGTTGAGAATGCGTGGCGCAAAGCTCAAGAAGTCTGTAACCTTGTTGGCCAAACTCTAGGAAAACCTTTATTAATCAAAGAAGAAGAAACAAAAGAATGGGAAGGCCAAATAGATGATCACCAGTCATCCAAACTCTCAAGTTCATTAACTGTACAACAAAAAATCAGAAGTGCAACAATACATGCTGCTTCAAAAGTGTTCATAACTTTTGAAGTAAAAGGGAAAGAGAAGAAGAAAAAACATCTCTGAAATTACAAAATATATTGTGTTTTTGTATCTTTTTGTCTATTTTTATACTTTTTATAATGTTTGCTTTTGTATAGTATATAAAGTGTTTCTCCCCAAAATCTGTGAATCCTTAAATAGAATCCCACAGAATACTTATGTTTACTTTGTTTTTAAAATCTTACTGTGGGAAATATTCTTTGGAAATAAATATATTACATGCATACCTATATACTGAATTTATATTAGTGCATGTGTAGTAACTTTTATATTTCTACTATAGGAAGAAATATTGACACAGCTATTAGCATGATTGCTAACATTAATAGAAAGAATGAAGAGCAAAACAAAATTTTTGATAAAAGGGTAAGGAAGTATATTATGAAAACATTTTGATGCCAGAAATAAAAGATAATATATGCATCAGACCCTCTTCACCAGGGCTTCTGTGATTATACCAGCACTCTCCAATACAACTATAATGCAAGTCACCTAAGTAATTTAAATGTTCTTAATAGACACATTTTAAAAAGTAAAAAAAAAAGCCCTGGCCAGTTTGGCTCAGCGGTTAGAGCGTCGGCCTGCGGTCCGGAGAGACCCGGGTTCGGTTCCTGCTAAGGGCACATACTTCGGTTGCAGTTTGTCCCCGGCCCTGGTTGGTCGTGCGGGTGGCAGCCACTCGATGTGTCCCTTCACGTCGATGTTTCTCTCTCTCTCTCCCTTCCTCTCTCTCCCTCCCACTCTATCTGTACAAAAAATGGAAAAATATCCTCGGGTGAGGATAAAAAAAAAAAGTAAAAATAAAAAGTTGAAACTAGTTTTAATATTTTATTTTACAGAGTATATCCAAAATATTATTTCATTATGTAATCAATATTTTTAAAATAAGATATTTTATATTCATTTTTATATTAAGTCTTCAAAATCCAGTGTATATCTTATAGCACATATCAATTCAGATGGTAAATTTTCATCAGAAATACTTGATCTGTATTTAAGTTTCCTAAAATTTAGTAGAAACAATAGATTCACACACCCAAGTTGTTCCAAATATGCTTAAAAGATATAGTAACTAAATCAACTATCCATTTTTTTTTCTTTTCTTTTTTTTTATTAGTGAGAGGGAGGGAGGGAGGAAGAGAGCGAAACATCAATGTTAGAGAGACACATCAACTGGCTGCCACCCACACGACCCCAACCGGGGCTGGGGCCAACTGCAACTGAGGTACATGCCCTTAGTGGGAACCGAACCCCAGTCTCTCTAGACCGCAGGCCAATGCTCTAACCGCTGAGCCAAACCGGCCAGGGCTCAACTAACCATTTTTAATTAAAATTTTAAAAAATTTAAAATTCATGGGGAGGAGGGTGTCAATGGGGGGGGGGGGGGAACATATGTAACAAAAATAAATAAAAAAAACAAAAAAATTTAAAATTCAATGCCTTGGTTGTATTAGCCACATTTCAAGTACTCTGAAGCCATAAGTGGCTAATGGCTACCATGTTGAACAGTGCAGGGTTATACACTGAAATAATACTTAAGGCTATTTGAAATGTAACCATGTACATGTCATTGCTGTTGCATTACACGTTATATTCCTAGGCTTTCCATTCCCCAGCATACAACTTAGGTCCTAGGGTTTTTCCTTTGACATATCTTGATACTTAATGTACCAATATTTCTTTCCTACAACATATTCCAGTATATAGTTTCCATTCCCACCTTTCTTAAGTTGCACTGGAAGTTTTATCCCTCTCTTCTGTAATGTCTTCAGCAGGAGGAAGCTAACTGTGGAAGCTAAGATGAAAAGTTTTATAATCTGACACCACTATGTTCAAATCCTGACTTTACTCCTAGAGTGTAAGCTCCTTTAGAATGGAGTTCTTATCTGTCCTGTTCACAGCTGCATTCTCAGGCCCAGCACGGTAGCAGGACCAATGCAGAGTAAGCTCTCAAATCTCTGCTGAGCAATCTGACCAGTTGTCTAAACTTGGCAAGGCACTTTAATCTCTTTAGGCTTCTCTTTCCTCACCAATGAAATAAAACTACTACTACTACTGTAAGATTAAAGTTGATAAAATATAAGACCATGAAAATAATGCCTAGCACATGCCGCGACCTGCATGGCTAGTTGAACCAGACCTGAGGAGGGGTGACAGGAGACTAAGAAAAATACAGAGACTAAAAAAGACACAGAGACATTCTAGAGAGAAAAACGGGCCAGCTGGGACACTGCTCTCTGATGGAGAAACAGTGACTCCGAGCTAGCTCAGCCAGTTTATTATATAGCCAATTGAAAGGGGGGAGGGAGGAGTAGTTCAAAAGCTTCATTGTTCTCAAACACCAAATGTTTCCCTCGGCCTCAGCTCAAGGTCCAGACTGTCAATACATTCCTGCCCACCTGTGTGGGCCTTGCCTGCACACGGGAAGAACAAGAGATCTTGGCAGAATGTTCCTGTGTAGACCTTGCAAGCACGCAGGCTCAACAAGTGGCCTTGGGACGAAAGGCTCCTGGGGGAGACGGTGCGAACACCACAGGGCTTTGTCCCTTGTTTTGGAAACTCCTGGGCGAGTCCATGCAAACACCATAGGGACACGAGGCCTTGGCTCAACCGCCCTCCACATCTCCTCCTTTTTTGTTTTTTAAATCTTCCCCCCTTTTTCGGCTTTTTCTTTATTTTTTCAAATCTTCCCCTTTTCTGTCTTTAAATTTATGCGGTGAACATCTATTTGGACTCTTCTGAGTTGGGTTTGGAAGATCTGACAGCTGACTGACAGGAGACAAAACAATATTATCAGAGCAGTAACAAATCCAAGTAAGTACCATGCAGTATGTTTAAGAAGATTGAAAGAGTTGAAACCTTTAAGTTCATCTAAAATTTCTCTAGCCAGTTGTGCTGGATTAATATCATCATGGCTATCTTGAATATCCTACATATGTCTATGCAGTTGCTGCAAATCAAGACTGATATTATGAGTCCATATTCCTTGGAGATGTACCTTAACTTTGTCCCAGTTCCACTGGGTTTTATTACATGGGACTGAAATAACCCAGATAAAACTGTAAGCAGCATGGCAGAGCAACCTTTGTCGAGCTTTAATGCTCTCAACTTGTCCCAGCCCAAATTCCAAAGCATTTAATTTTGCTTCTAATTTGGTGTCAATATTTTCTTGATCTTGTAAAGCAGCAGAGGTATTCTGAGTCAAGTCATTTATAAATTGGGCATTATGAATACTCTGAGTCAGGGCTAAAGAAGCAGTTACAATAGAAGCAATAAGACCCACAATAGTGACAATGACACAAATAATCCTAAAGCTCTTTTATGATGAGTCAATTGGTTCTTAATCGCTTATCAAAGTTTGCAGTCCAGTTTCATGATACCAATATCCCGATATGTTGGTAGGGAGCATAACAAAAGGGGGCTGATATAGAACTAAAATATCATCATACTTATTATCTTTTGTTACACAGTTGATGTACACTCAGGACATGAGACAGAACAGTGTGTGGGAAGCTTAGTAATATTTACAGAGCCTGTCACAATCACATTAGGGGTCTGTACACAAGCCCACAACCCATAACAGGGATTAGTGGGGCAACAGGCCATACCAATGTTTGCCAAAAAAGAGTCAGGATAATTCAGAAAATCCAGTGCAGCGGCTAATCTCCAGAGATCTTTCTGCATTTGACCCTTAGGGGTGGTGAGGATGTTATTTACAAAGCCCCCAGGGGACATGAGATTATGATTCGGGTGTTTGGGGTCTAATCCATGAGACCAGTCTAACAACTGAAATCCTGTTCCCGTAATATTGATGCTAACGGATAGGGTTTGCACCATCCTGCCATTGGGGAAAGCCCCTAAATTGAAGGGTTGTCCTGTTAGGGCAATAAGGCAGAGAAGGATGCTGATAAGGTGCAACCTGGGTGTTATAGGGAAAACCCAGTTTATTCACAGTCTGAATATATTTCTTCATATCCCATAGATCTGTAATAGTAGCAATGTTGGTGCCTCCGTAGATGTTTTATTCTCAGGTTTAACAGGCAGGCACCCATACTTGCCTGCATGGGACAGGCAGACTGGAGGATCTACACTGAAGCCAAGATAAGTATAATTATAGTGCGAAGTGGGTGTAATATATTGGTCAGAATTTCCACCCATCATTGCTGAATCATTAGTAAAAACAGGCACAGACCCTCTTTCCAAGCAGCTGGATTTACCACAGGAGGGTCTGGGAAATAGGTCCAATAGGTATTTGCCCCAACCATACTTCCCTGGATGCTGACCAGGGACAGCAGAGCCACAAATAGCATCGTGGGGGCAACCTCAACCCCTTGCCCTAAAACCACCTGTTGAGCTTCTCCAGTCAACTGCTTCAGCTGCCCCCATGTAGGAAGAGAGGAAGTCTGGGTGGCCCTAGCTTGGCAACTCGTCCTCACGGGTGGCTTCTCCTGCTTCACTACTGGTGACGCTGGGATCACCACTGGGGTGGTGACCTTCAGCCTCTTGAAAGATGTGACAGTCTGGTCTACGGGGTCCATAATGATGTCACACAGTACGTTCTGGCACCCAAATAAGTTGATCAGTATCTTCTGGAAAAATACAAACATGGCCTCTTCCCCACATCATCACTGAATCTGGCCCCTTCCATTGACCTGTCTGCAGGTCTTTCCAGCAGGCAAGCTGTGCTGAAGCCTGCGGCTGGGTCACCTGCTGGTGCTCAGCAGCAGGAAGGCCACTGGCATCACAATTTAAACACTTTTAAGTATATAAAGTATGGTTCAGTTGATTCTGGAGGTAAGAGCATATCCTGTATCTCCCCCTTTTTTGTTTTTGTAATTGTAATTTTAAAGTTTTGTTTGCTCTTTCTACTATTGCTTGTCCCTGAGGGTTATAAGGAATTCCTGTTTTATGTCGAATTTTATATTGGAAGCAAAATTTCTGAAAGGCAGAATTGGTGTAAACTGGCCTGTTGTCAGTTTTTATTTCCTGGGGTTTACCCAGTCGAGCAAAAGTGGCCAGACAATGGTTGATAACATGCTTAACACTCTCCCCGTCTGAACTCTTGCAAAAATGAAACGGGAAAAAGTATCAACATATACATGCACCCAGCGCTGCTTCCCAAATTCAGAAAACATGAGTCACATCCATTTGCCAAATCTGATTTGGTTTTAATCCTCAGGGGTTAACTCCAGATGACTGTACTGGTAGATGAATGACACACACTGGGCATTGTTTTACTATTTGCCTAACCTGCTCTCTAGAGATTTTAAATTCTTTGTGCAGCGCTGCTACATTCTGATGGTGCAAAGAATGAGAATATTGGGCTGAGGCTGGAGGAGTGGAAATTGTAGCATGCACCAGCAAGCGGTCAACAGCGTCATTCCCTTCAGCTAAAGGTCCTGGGAGTCAAGAGTGAGCATGAATATGGCCGATGAAGCATGGGTGTTTTCATGAATGGATGACTTCCCTTTACTACATCCCAGACTGTTATCCCACCACCAGGGACTAACTCTCCCTCTCTCACTCAGTGTCCTATTTTCTTCCCTGCTGGAGTATTCCTCCAATGTCCTGTCTTCCTGTAATATGTATGTCCCTTTCTTCTAACCTTTTTTATCTTTTCACTTCCTCTGTTCTTTCTCTTTTTGCTTCTTTCCTCTACACAATCCTTCTTCAACTTGCTATACACCCTCAAGTTTAGCTTCTATCATCTCCTTTCACATTCTGGCACAACCAGACAGTTTTCCTTTAAGACAATACTCTTTTTTCTTACCTTATTACCATTCAGCTCTCTTCCCTCTTGCTTCTCAGACACTAAAACTTTCAACAAACTCCTTAAAGTGGTTTTCTTTCAGTAGTCCAGAATATACTGAGTCAGTTCATGTGTGCTCATCACCCCAAAATGCTACACTTTAAAAATGACAATTTTCTTAATTGGCTCAAAAACAGTATGGTTGGTAGGAAATATTAACACTTTCACTGGCAGTTGCTGATTTACTCCTGTTAGTTGGCATTTTGAATTGCAGATTCTACCTTAGGAGTTAACTGCAGAGAGGAGGAGGGAGATACATAACCCCGCAAAATTTGAAACAAAGATCTCGTGTCAGCAGTGGTTAATTTTAAAGCTGATCTAATCCAATTGATGTCACCCAACAGCTTCCAGAAGTCATTTAAGGTGGTTAAAGAATCTGTTCTCACCTGCAGACGTTGAGGATGAACAGTCCGCCCCTCAATTTGCTACCTACATATTGGAAGGGAGAAGAACACTGAATCTTTTCAGGGGCTATACAAAGTCCAACCTTCTCCAGAGTTGTCTGCAAGGCAGCAAAATGGGAAAGTAGCACTTTCATGTCTTGGTGAGCCACTAAGATATCATCTATATAATGAATTATATAATCTTTTGAATAATGATTATGGATTTCCTCTAATGGCAAAAGCCACAAAGGCTTGACATAGGGTAGGACTATTGGCCATCCCTTGAGGCAAAACCTTCCAGCAGTATCTCTTCACTGGCTCCCTGAAATTCACAATAAGTATGCTAAATCCAAATCTTTTACAATCCTTAGGATGCAAAGGTATAGTAAAAAAAACAGTCCTTTAAATCTAAGATAATTAATTCAAATTCCAGAGGAATTGCTGTAGGTGATAGGAGCCCAGGCTGTAGTGGGCCCATGATTTCCATAGTTTTGTTAATAGCTCTTCAATCCTGTAGTAACCTCCATTTCCTGATTTCTTTTTTACAACAAAAATGGGAGTATTCCAAGGGCTGTTAGTGGCTTGATATGACCTGCTTCCAAATGTTCCTGTACTAATAACTGTGCTGCTTACAACTTCTCTCCTGCTAGGGGCCATTGATCAACCCATACTGCCTTATCTGATAGCCAAGTAATTTTGGCTGCGGTCCTTTGGGCTGGAGAGATGACCAAGGCCCCTAAGGAAAAGGAAAAGGCCCTTTAAATCCCAAACATTGCCTGCCTTTCTGAGAGGAGGCAGGAACAGGAGAAATTCTCCCTTGCAGGTATTTCCCCAGCCCCTTTTTTGGACTGTATCCTTGTCCAAGCATTTGTGCTGTAACTACAGAATTAGGGCTCATTGATAGTACTCCCGTCTTTTCCATGTCCTGTCCCCATAGATTAACAGGCAAATGATCCAGAACATAGGGCTTAAAAAAACCCAGTGTTGCTCTCAGAATCTTCCCATTCGATAAGCTGTGCACTTTGTTGGGGCCTAGAAACCTGTCTTACTCCTTGTAAACCGGCCATAGAAACATCTGCTCCTGTATCTAAAATACCTTTAAATTTCTTTTTTTTCAAATTGAGCTCTATTTCTGGGACACTTTGGATGATTAGTTGTGCCCAATAGGTCCTGTCTGTAGAGCTGAATCCTCCCTCTCCCTGCAGTTCCTTTGAAAGCATTCTTACAGGCAAGCTGTTTAACCATTGATGTGCTGGCCCTGAATTATTTATTACTTATCATATTTATGATTTCCTTCTAAAATTTCTCTTAACAAATCTTTTAACTTTCATAAACCTTTTTATCCATCCAGAAATAACCAATTTTAGCATAATTTTTAAAAATATATATATAATATATATATCTCCATACCGTATATCTTCTTTCACCAAAACCATATAATTTCTTTCTAACTTAATTTGTAACTTAAAATGCTATACCTCATATCCCATAATTGTCATGTTCTCCCCAGGAATATAGGTCAAGGATATCCCAATTTGTCAGACTTGTTGACGAGAATTTGATAGTAAGGAATTCTTCCTACTGGCCTAAAGGAATAAAAACGTAAATTATGAGGTCAAAAGTGGGAGTTAATATATATTACCTATATTATAAAATTATATCGGAGACAAATACTTTATTATTCATTCCAGAAAAAACAACTATGTATATTACAATTGAAACTTAAACAACATGTGTTTAAATTGTGCGTGTCCACTTATACATGGAATAGATTTTTTCAGTAAATACCTGTACTATTTTTGCTCAGCAGTAGGAATCCACAAATGTGGACGGCTATGCCATTTTATATAGGGGACTTGAGCATCCGTAGGAATCCTGGAACCAATCCCCAGTGGACACTGAGGGACAACTACGTTTTGGGGGAGTCAAAAGTTATATGTGAATTTTCGCTGTGTGATGGGAGGAGGTTGGTGTCCCTAACCTCCACATTCCTCAACAGTCAACTGTGGTTTAATTAAAATAGCATAAATAATCCTGGCTGGGTGGCTCAGTTGATTGGAGAATTGTCCCATACACCAAAAGGTTGCAGGTTTGACTCCCAGTCAGGGCACATACTTAAGTTGTGGTTCCATCCCCAGTCAGGGCCCGTATGGGAGGCCACTGTTTGGTGATTCTCTCACATTGACGTTTCTCTCTCTCCCTTCCTCTCTCTCTAAAAATCAATAAAAATAACAAATATTTTTACTTCTTAAATGCATATTGTATTTCCAGACAAGTAGCTTCTACTCATTACCTAATATGACCTAAATTACTTTGATATGTTCAGTTATGTTTAAAGACTAGAATTCACATCGGCTAATGCAAGTTAAACACTGCTCTCAGGATGAGGTAATAATTTCCAAGAGGGATGATTTTCACTATTTCATTAAAAGAATAGCCCTGGCCAGTTTGGCTCAGCGGTTAGAGCGTCGGCCTGCGGTCCGGAGAGACCCGGGTTCGGTTCCCGCTAAGGGCACATACTTCGGTTGCAGTTTGTCCCCGGCCCTGGTTGGTCGTGCGGGTGGCAGCCACTCGATGTGTCCCTTCACGTCGATGTTTCTCACTCTCTCTCCTTTCCTCTCTCTTCCTCCCATTCTATCTGTACAAAAAATGGAAAAATATCCTCGGTTGAGGATAAAAAAAAAGAATAGACCTGGCTGATTTTGCTCAGTGGTTAGAGCGTTGGCCCACAGACCAGAGAGTCCTGGGTTCAGTTCCCGCTAAGGGCAACCCAGGTACATGCCCTTAACTGGAAATTGAACTGCGACCCTTCGGTCTGCAGGCCGACACTCTAACTGCTAAGCCAAACTGGCCAGGGCATGCTCCTTCTTTCTATAAACAATTTTTGGAAGAGTCAAAAAGAGGTAAATAGCTTTAACACTTTCATACATGCATCAGTTTTACGCTGATCATATTAATACATCCTAATTATTTCTTTCTTTATTGGATTAATTGAGGTGACATTGGTTAATGAAACTATACAGGTTTCAAGTGTACAATTCAAGAAAACATCATCTGCACACTGTATCATGCACCCATTGCCCAAAGTAGAGACTCTTTGCATCCCTATTTATCCCTCCTCTGCCTTCTTCCACCTCCCCCAGCCCCCTTTCCTTTGGCTATCACCATACTGTTGTCTGTGTCTATGTGTTTTATATATATGAGATATATATATATCTTTTTCTCATTAATCCCTTCACCATTTTTCATCTAGCCCCCCAAACCTCCTCCCTTCTGACAGTTGTCAGTCTGTTCTATACATCTATGCTTCTGTTTCTATTTTGTTTGTTAAATTATTTTGTTCATCATATTCTACATATAAATGAAATCATATAGTATTTGTCTTTCTCTGACTGGCTCATTTAACTTAGCATAATATTCTCCGGGTCCATCTATTCTGTCACAAAAGGTAGTATTTCCTTCTCTTTTTACAGCCAAGTAGTATTCCACTGTGTACATGTACCACAGTTTTTTATCCACACATCTACTGATGGGCATTTGGGCTCCTTCCAAATCTTGGCTATAGTAAGTAATTCTGCAATGAACATAGGGGTGCATATATCCTTTCAAATTAGTGTTTCTGATTTCTTCAGATATAATCCCAGAAGTGCAATTACTGGGTCACCTCCTCGGGAGTAGGGCTATGTCTGAAACATTTGTTTTCCCAGTATCTGGCTTCAGGACGAGGAAAAGCTGGCTGTCAGATGCTTAAATTGAATTTGTTTCCATTAGTATTAGTTTTACTTTCAAAGCCTGTTTTAGAAAATCATATTTGTACTGATAACAATAATGAATTTGCAGCTCATACAAAAACATATGCTGTTTCCTTTGTTTAATTAGTCATAGTTATTGTAACTCCATTAAAAAAAAAATTAGTATAGCCCAGCCAGCGTGGGTCAGTGGACTGAGCATCATCCCATGGACTGAGAGGTCCCAGTTTGATTACTGGTCTCTAAGCAATCTATAAAAACATATTTTTTTAAAAAGTATTTTAAAAAATTAGTATAATGATTCAAATAAGTCAACTCTAGCCCAAGTAAGTAATAGCATAAAAAGAAAATTTTTCTTAGTTTGTGCCAAATCAATTATGAAAAGTCTAAGGTATTAAATTCCATACTGGAGTAGGGGGTAAAGTGTAACTCAAAGTTGAATGTCAACTAAATAAAATAAAATTATTTTTAATATATCAAATGTTTCACAATTCAATATGTACAAAGCAAAGATTTCTTCATCTTCATTGTATCTATTCCTAAAATGATAAAGTTTTATGCATATATGCATAACCAATGGACACGAACAATAGAGTGGGGAAGGCAGGAGGGGGAAGGATCAGGGAGGAAGGGGTCAGTGAGGGGAAAAAGGAGGAACATCTGTAATATATTCAACAATAAAGATAAGTTTTTTAAAAAAGTAATTATATTTCAGAAATTACACTTTTTCATCTAAGGGTATTAAGTGACCTCATGTTTCTCCTAAATTGTTTGAGCCTCTATTTGCCATCAGTGGTTAAACTAGTTTTTAAAGACTTTTAACCGTTTCTGTTCTTAACATTAATGACAATTTTTGAGTATTCAGATCAAATACTAGTGACAAGTATTGTACTAAGATCAAAAAATTAGATGACCCTCCCCTGCCCCCCAAGAAAAAGATAAGGAAGATTTAATTACAGAGCTACCAATACAAAAGGAGAAAGCATAACGATCTTGGATTCGTTTTTGTTTTTTCTTGGATGATTATATCATTGTGTTAGAAGATTTCTATTCCTGGATTTAATTTTCAACATAAATAGTAAAATGTGCACATGTTGTTTTGTATCTTTTACCAAAGACCACCAAATTTATTAATCATTATTCTACCCCCACAATTCCGAAACATTATCTTAAATGATGTAAAGGTCTTCTCCGAAGGATAGCTACTTTCCTAAGAATCAAAGAAAATGAAAGATAATTACAATACGGTTCAGTCTTTTTACTCCTTGAAGACTCGTAGCAGAAGCGTTGCTCTCTATACCTGAGACAAAACACTGCAAGTAGAGCTGTAGCATGATACAGGGCTGTAAAACCACCAGTTCACTCTTTTCAGGAGTCTCCACAGTTACAGTCTTCTAAGGTGCTTCTCTGTGTAGTATATCAGGAAAAAAAGAGAAAAACATGTTTATTCACCTTTGATGTGCAAAATCCTTTAGCAACATTTACATATGAAACAATAAATGTTTTTCCAATTGCTACTGCCAAACTCAGTAAGTTACTAATTTTTATTTTTTGGTATTGGATTGAAAGCTAATTAGAAGCATTACCAGGTTATTAGGTTTCTCCCTAGCTACAACTACTCTTTAAATAAATGACGGATAGCATACCTTCTTTCCCCTGATTCTAGCAACTGATTTTTCACACAACTTGGGTTTACTTAACAGGTGTCTTACATTTGTGAGTCCAGTTATTGCACATTGATTTTCTGCCTCCTACATGTCCAAACCAGAAGTTCTTTTGTTGAATGCACACACTGTAGCAATAATGTAGGCACCAGAATTACACTGACAATAAAACAAAAAAAAAAACAAGTGCTATTAGTTACTGGACTAAAAATAGCCCAACTCAGCAAAACAGTTCAATATTTGAGCAAAACAGTCCAATGTTGTGAGCAAAAGCAGGTTTACAGTTGTATGAGAAATACATGGTTTATCTTTTTATTATTTATTAATATTGTATCATTTATTTGTATTACTATTGTAAACCTACTTTTGCCCACTGTTGTACATTGAGGAGGAGGAAGACTGATCCAAGAAGGGGAAGCAGGAATATAACAACAGATCGAAAGTCAGCACATCCTTCTCTTTCTCTGAAATGTGAAGATTTTAACCTAGCCCCTCTCAGTAAATCCATTGTATACACAAGCATAAGAGTGAGTTTGTTGCCCTGGCCGGTTTGGCTCAGCGGTTAGAGCGTCGGCCTGCGGTCCTGAGAGACCCGGGTTCAGTTCCCGCTAAGGGCGCAAACCTCGCAAACCTCGGTTGCAGTTTGTCCCTGGCCCCAGTCCGTCGTGCGGGTGGCAACCACTCGATGCGTTCCTTTCACGTTGATGTTTCTCTCTCTCTCCCTCCCACTCTACCTGAACAAAAAATGGGAAAGTGTCCTCGGGTGAGGATTATAAAAATAAATAAATAAAAAGAGTGAGTTTGTTTTATAAAGTAAATCAGGGGTCCCGGAATAAAAGCATAATTTAAGGGACTTGTAATTATAAGATATATTAACCTATTATAATGAGTGTAGCTTATCTGGATCATGATTCAAACAAACTAAACAAAAATATTCAGAGTCAGACATTTGGAAATTTAAATACTGACTAGATGTTTGATGCTATTTCTGTATGTTTGCTATTTTTCATAATACGGTTGCTAAAAATGACATCTCTCCATTACAGTATGCTATTTTTGATAAGAACATAAGAATGAATGAAGACTTGGGTGTGTTACAAAGGATGGACATGCAGAGTTTGAAAGGCAGGCTGAAATCAGATTTCCAATCCTTGACATTAAGGATGAGGCTTAGGAGTTTCAGAGGAGAGGGGGTTTGCTAGACCATAATGGAGAGAAACTGGAGTTGCCAGTCAGGATGGCAGTGCAAGGGCTATGAGAGCGAATGAGGCATGTTTCAGGGGCAGGGGGTTTGATCTGGTTACAGGAGGAATGAGAAGAGGATACTGCATGAACAAGTGATGGATTACCGAGAACACACTGGACGTCTGCCATGTGGCTCTCACAGTCCTGGGCATTATGGAATATTCAAGAGGAATACACATCCCAGAACTTAGTTCAGGAATCAGCATCAGAACATAATCACCTGAAGAAATTATTCACGGAAAGTAGTTAGCTTGGTGATAACGTTTGAGAGAAAAATACGTTTCTGGTAGAGTCAATAGTAACTGGAGAATTATAAATATACAAATGTAAACTTAAATTGTGTAACAGCTACAAAAATACCTAAAGAAATTGAAGAATGGGTAGTAACAAAGGGAGGAAACACGACTTAAAGCAAACGAGAGAGAGAAAGTTGCAGCCGACCAAACACAAACCAAAGCAAAACGAACCTTGAGTCAGGATAAACACTTGTCCTCCCCTTGGCCCCAAAACAAGCAATAAACTATACCCGTGGCCTTCTCCTTCAACCCAAATAACCTAAAATAACGCAAGGAGGGAGGTGGGGGGAGGGGGCGGCTCCTTCGACCTGGTTCCTCCTCAGCCCGGTTACCTGTCAAGTAGTGCCGGTGCTGAGACCCCCTCGGGGCCTGCGCTCTGTCCCAGGGTCTCGGTTCACACGCAGAGACCGACCCTGCCTCCTGTTGAAGCCCCGACAGGGGCGGGCGCCGGGGACCGGGCCCAGCAGGAGGGGGCGCAGCGGGCGCAGCGGGCGGAGCCTCTCCAGGAATGGAAGGTGGATGTTGAAGACCCGGGACGGCCCACCCGGCGCTCCCCCTAGGTGGCTGGGTCTCGGGCGCTCCTCGCCTCGAGGTGGGGCGCAGACGGCAGCTGCGGAACCGCAGAGCAGGCAGTCTCGCTCCGGCGCACCGCACCGGTCCTGTCCGAGCCGCCTCCGCCTCCGCCTGGTCGCTGTCCCCCGGGCGTGGGCAGTCCGAGGGGCTCCGCTGCATTCAAGGACCGCCAAGGCACCCCGCAGGGGGCTGAACCGTCTTCTCCGCCTGGGGCATTTCAGTCTCACACAGCCCTAGACCGGAGAGTGCACCCAGGGCTTTTTCTCTTGCCGCGACCCCCTTCCCTAGGCATGGCTCTTTCCTCCTTTGCCCACTGTTAGTGCCGAAGGTCAGAATGGTCTAAGGGCCTTCGCATCACCTACCATCCTCATGGCGCCAAGGGCTGTGCCTTTTACCTTTCCCACATTCCTCGCAGGCCTACTCCATTCCTAATTCAACCGACTGCCTGAGACCAGGCTACTGTTATAACTCAGTGCCATTGACCCAAACTCCCAGAGGCCGTCATGACAACCAAAGGGGTTGTCAGTTTACTCATTTACTGAAGAACATTCTTCACTAGCTAATCCCTAAGTAAACACTAACCCTTGAGGAATCCTGGGGTCGGCGCCAGGGATGATCTATTGAAAACATCTTGACCTTTGAGATGTCTGGGAAACTGAGTAACAGGTAATTAACTAACTGCTAAATTCCGCTTCTGTAACATGCTTGCTTACACGTAGCAACCCCCCTCACAAAATCCTATAAAAAGGAGCCATTTTAGCTCTCCGGGGCCGCAGTTACTCCTGTGTGGGACACACTGCAGGCCTGCGGACTTAGCTCAATAAACTCCTTTTGTTAAACCCCATCTCCGCGTCTGAGTTTGGTCGATCTCCTGGGTTACAACACTACGAACCCCACTATCATGTGACTCCGCGATCCCACTTCTGGGTGTATATCCAGGGGAAATGAATTTAGTATCAAAGAGGTATCTGATCACCGCTAATCCACGCCAGGACGCAGTGACCTAATAAGAGGGACTGACCGCGTTCTCCCAGCTTATTAAAACCATTGGTTGGTTCCTGATAGGCAGCAGCTCGGAGCCAGGCCCCTCAAAGTCCGGCTCCTGTGCCCTCCTCAGCTCCATCCTCCTCACACGCTCCAGAACTGAACAGACCCCCTTCTCTGGGATGTTCCTCACTCATCGCCTCCCTTGGCTTGTCTAATTTACTCACCTTGGAATCAAAAACTCAGCTGACAGGCCCCGCCGGTGTGGCTCACTGGTTGAGCGCGGACCCACGCACCAGGAGGTCGCGGGGTTGATTCTCGGTCCGGCACATGCTGAGGTTGTGGGCCCGATCCCCAGTGGGGGGCTTGAAGGAGGTAGCCAATCCATGTTCTCTCTCATCGCTGTATCTCTCTCTCCCCCTTCCTCTTCCCTTCCTCTCTCTACAATCAATAAAGAAAAAAAAGTTTTTTTAAAACTCAGCTGACAGAATAACCTCCAGGACGGCCATTCCAGCGGAGTTCCATCACCCTCTTGGGGTATTCAGGAGCACCTGCAGTCAAGATTGATTCCAGCTATGTAGCTACCTATCTACTCCAGCTATGTAATTTTTCCTACCCCACACCCAGCAATTTATCACCTTCGAATTCTGTACCAGGTACAGTGTCAAGTATGTGTTATGAGTTATTTAATACAACTAGCCTAGTCCAGCCAGTGTGGCTCAGTGGTTGAGCATCAACACATTCACCAAGAGGAGGTCAGTTCAATTCCCGGTCAGGGCACATGCCCAGGTTGTGGGTCTGGTCCTCAGTGGGGAGCATGCAGGAAGTGGTCAATGTTCTTTCTCATGGATGTTTCTCTCTCCCCCTCTCACTTCCTGTCTCTCTAAAGTAAATAATGGGAAAAAAATTATACAACTAGCCTGTGAAGTAGCTGCTATTATCCCCAGCATAAACATACGATATAGGCTAAGAGAAGAAATTTGTCTAATCTCTCATGGCCAGGATGCAGGGAACTCAGGCATCCATATTTTTCAAAATCATCCTCCAGGCGATTCCTGTGGGCAGCCAGGGTGAGAACCACTGCTCTAGCCTGTGAGCTCTTCTAGGACAAGAGGCCACATGTTTCACCTGTGGACCTAGCGCAGTGATCAGGATATAGTATGTGGTTGTGAAATAGATAAGGTTTTATTTGATCCTCTACACTACTCAAGAAGTCAGGCCATTCAGGGATCATAACTACCTTTTTTAAAATTTAAAGATGTACAGAGAGCCCGAAAGCTGAGACTTCATAGTTAATAAATGGCAGTGTCCTGGATGAAGACTAGGGACATCTGACTCCTTCCATGCTCTTTTCACCTATGTAGCTTCTTTTGGGACAGCCTCCTAAAGAAGATTTCCTTTTGATTCTTCCTGGGGAAAACTCTGGTGATAAGAGATTCATTTTCACATCTAACCAGGTTTAGAGTATGTGTAGTGCCCGAGTACAGAGTAGAGACAGGGTAGGTCCTGCGGACAAAAAAAGTAGCAAAGCCAACTGTGCAACATCACTATTTTGATGTAAATTCTCAAAAGAAATTGCATGAATTAAGGTAGTTATCCTGAGATCACTCCAGGCCATCTGGACTATATTATCCCAGGTATTTTTGCCAAGCCACCAGGCTGAAGGATTTTTAAGTAAAGGAGTAACATGATTAGAATTGGATTTACTGAAAACACACACACACACACACACACACACACACACACACACACACACACAGGTATGGGTTCTCATGGGACAAAAGCAAACAGAAAATGATGTCCGTAGTAGAATTGTTCATTATAGCAAAAGGCTGGAGACAATTACTGTGCCTACTGGAAACAGAATGGTTAGATTGTGATATGTTCACACAATAAATATATAGCAGTGAAAATGAATGAATTATACCTTGTGTAAAAACATGAATAAATCTTGGAAATATTACAGAGTTGTTGTAGTATAAAGAGATAAAGAGTATGCTACAAAAAAAATGTAGAAAAAAGATACTAGATAGCACTCAGGCTCCATTTTGTTAGAGAACTATGATATCCATGTTTACATTTGCAAACAATATATGCAACTTATTTCACAAGTATTTGAGTGTTTATAATTCTCAAGGCATCTCAAAGCACATGTATACACATGTTGTATAAGCACATTATACCAGTGGTATAAAATGGGCCATGAAGAAATAATTGATGGCACAAATGTAGTAGAGTTTAGCTGTATAAAAGTTTCTTCAAAAATTAAAAATGTAACTATCATATGATTCAGCAATCTCACTTCTGGGTATATATCCAAAAGAAATAAAATTAGTATCTTAAAGAGGTATCTGCACTGCCATATTCACAGAAGCATCATTTACAATAGCCAAGACATGGAAGCAACCTAAGTGTTCATCCATGGATGAATGAATAAAAAACATGTGGTACGTATATACAATGGAATATTAAGCTATTAAAAAACGGAAATCCTGCCATTGTGACAACATGGATGAATCTGGAAGACATTAGACTAAGTGAAATAAACTAGACAGAGAAAGGCAAATATTGTGTGGTTTCCAGAGGCTAGTAGGGGAGAGGAGAACAGGAAAAGGTTAGTTCAAGGGTACGAACTCAAATCTTACTCATGTGATATGAGCAAGATCTGGGGCTCTAATGTATGGCATGGTGATCACATTTAATAATACTGTATTGTGTACTTGAAATGTAGTAAAAGAGATCTTACGTGTTCTTACCACACCAAAAAAAAAGGTAACTAGGTAAGGTGACAGATGTATGAATTAACTTGATTGTGATAATCATTTTACAATGTATGTATCAAACCATGTTATACACCTTAAATACATACAATTTTGTCAATTGTACCTTAATAAGTCTTAGAAAAAAGAGTTTAGACAAAAAATAATAAGAACAAACTAATTGATACATTTAAAATAAAACACCTACTGTTTTTCTCTAGGAATAAACTATTTCTGTTAAAGAAGTAAAAAAAAAATAAGGCATTTCTTAGATTTCTTGGAAAAATACTGATATTAGATAAAAATAGTAAGTAAAATAGGAAGAATGGGAAGTTAGCAGATGCTATACTCTTGTCTTTTGACACTTCCTAGCTGCTTCTTAGTAATCACAAGACGACAAATTACAATTTGTAATTGTAGTATTACACTAAGCCAAAATGCTTCAGTCATATGAAATGTTTTAAAATAAAATTTCAATAGTAATATAGACCATTTACCCCTCTAAATTGAAAAAATACTTGCTTTAACTAGGGGTCAACAAACTAATAAATTTATTAGCTAACTCTTGGTAATTTTAATAATTTGTAAGAGAACACTGAAAACTTTTCTCAAAACTCAAGGAAATGTGTCTCTTTACTTGCCTTTCACCCGACAAGAATTATACAAAGATTAACACAGAGAATAATTTTTTAAAAAGTCTTAACTTAGCCCTGGCCGGTTTGGCTCAGCGGTTAGAGCGTCGGCCTGCGGTCCTGAGAGACCCGGGTTCGGTTCCCGCTAAGGGCACGTACCTCGGTTGCAGTTTGTCCCCGGCTCTGGTTGGGTTGTGCGGGTGGCAGCCACTCGATGTGTTCCTTTCACGTCGATGTTTCTCTCTCTCTGTTCCTCTCTCTCCCTCCTACTCTACCTGAACAAAAAATGGAAAAATGTCCTCGGGTGAGGATAAAAAAATAATAATTAAAAAAAAAAAAAAAAAGAAAGCCCTGGCCGGTTTGGCTCAGCGGTTAAAGCGTTGGCCTGCGGTCCTGAGAGACCCGGGTTCGGTTCCCGCTAAGGGCATGTACCTCGGTTGCAGTTTGTCCCCGGCTCTGGTCAGTCGTGCGGGTGGCAGCCACTCGATGTGGTCCTTTCACATCGATGTTTCTCTCTCTCTCTCTGGTCCTCTCTCTCCCTCTCACTCTACCTGAACAAAAAAAAAAAAAAAAAAAGTCTTAACTGAGCCTGGCCAGGATGGCTCAGTGGTTGAGAGTCAACCCATGCACCAAGAGGTCGCCAGTTCGATTCCTGGTCAGGACACGTGCCCAGGTTGTGGGCCCGATCCCCAGTGGGGGCATGGAGGAGGCAACTAATTAATGTTCTCTCTCATCAATGTTTCTTTCTCTCTCTCTCTCTCCCTTCCTCTCCAAAAATCAATAAAGAAAAATTTTTTAAATGTTAAAAAAAATCTCTTGACTGAAATTAATCTTAATTTTAAAGATAAGCTATTATCTGAGTTTTGGTATAATAGCCAGTACATTAAACTGATTTACATAATACTTTCATTTTTCCAAAATAAAATGTCTGGCTTTTGCACATCATTTGTGCACAGGCGTCCGAACCCTATTCTCCCATGTAGTAGCTTCCTTCCAAGCTTTTTGAGCTCTGCTGCTTGCTCCATCTGCTGGGGCCACTTCAGCAACAGAAAAGTTTGGAGGTGGGTGAAAAAAAAAAAAAAAAAAGGCAAGCCCCAGAGCTGACCCCTCTGGGAGCCACTAGACAGGTCAAAACTACAATTCTTTTAGAACAAGGTCCATATTGTTCCTTACTGTGGAGCCAGGAGTGCAAGCTGCCATCCTTAAGGTCCCTGCTGCATAGCCAGAAAGGGAGTGGGTAATGGTAGGTAAACTAAAACGCAATTAACTCTCTTACTGAAATTTAGCAGCTTCTTTTCTTCTTCTTTTTTATCCTCACCCAAGGACATTTTTGCATTTTTCTTCAGATAGAGGAGAGAGAGGAAGAGAGAGAAACATCAATGTGAGACACATCAAGTAGTTGCCACCCACATGACCCCAACCAGGGCCGAGGGCAAACTGCAATCAAGGTATGTGCCTTAGTGGGAACTGAACCCAGGACTCTCTGGTCCATGGGCTGACGCTCTAACCGCTGAGCCAAACCGGCCAGGGCTAGCAGCTTCTTTCTTCATTGAACGTTCCCCTGCTAGTTTTTCATAAAATTCCAGAAAAAGTTGATTCTGACAGATTTTGCCAGTTTAGTGGAGGGCTGGAGTTTTGAGATTCCCTATTACACCATTTTTGGTGGCATAACTCTCCATCAATCTTAACATTAAATTATAAATACCTACCTCCTCAAATGCTCTTTGATCTTAACTTCTTACTGGTTGCTTTACCGAATTGACATTTCTCAGAGGGCCCCTGGAAAAATCACAAACTTAGTACATTTCATTAGTAGGAAACAAATATTTCAACTCAAATCACAATTTATAGTGTGTTGCAACAAAGAGTCAAAACTTCTTTTTCTAAGCATTCAGATCTCCCACTTATTATAATCAGGTCATGGCCACAAGACACAGCTTGCCTGGAACCTATAC